CCTAACCCCTATATTATAACGTCATAAAAACAGATATTTTTCAAATGGCCAAAATGGATCATTCTCATACCATTGATACAAGAAAAGAAGCAGTGAAATCTCAAAGTCAATCTGTCTGAGTAAGAAAGCAGTAGATAGGCTGTCTGAGTTGGAGGCTATCTGAGCAACAATCTCAAAACAAACCAAATGGTAACCACCAACCCTTACCTACAAGAAAAGATTTTCATGAACTAAATATGTTTTGTTGCAATTCAAGTAAAAAACTGCAACTACCTCATTACCCATGCTGGTTGGGTAGAAATTGTTAATATACAGCAAATTGGTCCACCAGTGCTTTTTACAATTTTGTATTTCCATTCCTTTCGACTTTTCAAACCAAAGAGGTCCATCTCCGCAAAATGGAAAGATGAAAATGAAGAACAGAATGACATACATGTAGCTAGGAGTAAGCCTGGAATGAAGAGAAAAATTCTGTCTTTTAGCATATGAAGAGCCAATTATCATGAGATTCTAAAATGCCAGTAAAAAATTTCACAAGGAACATATAATAGGACATGGTGAGAAACAAAATCAGAAAAAAGTTTGATATAAATTAGAATAAATATATAAATTTGCCAGAATGCCAGCAGTGCCTTTCAAAAAGAGCATTTAAAAAAGTAAGGTTTTTTGGTTGACTTTCAACGAATGCAGACAAATGTTGCTATAAGATAAAAACAGCACAGGCAATACTTGTGTATCATTAGTGTAACAATTAGGTATAACCCATACCTCAAGAATCTGTGCAAATAGTATTGGGGCATGAACTTCTTGCTAAAGTAGCGGAGAAAGGATGATCCATCGTACTTATCAAATCGCTTCAGGCATAAGTAGGATACCAACAAGCCGCTGTTGTTGGAGTAAAAGAAAGTGAATTGTAAATCAGTCAATTAACAATCTGTAGAAACTGGTGACAGCAAAACTTTTTTGTCTAAAACACAACAACATAGCTTTAAACACAAACACAAAACACAAAAACCCACAACACAAAGACATAAAAACACACAACACAAAAAAAATTAACAAGCCAAAGAAATCTGGTCCCGTTATCCATGCCAGGTTTGTTTTTTCGAGAATCAAGGCCTAAGGTTAGAAACTACACATTTATACAAGGGGATCTACTGCTCTTGCCCTACTTCTAAGCTTATCTGAAACTCAACAATCTGTGGCACTAACCTCAGTAAAAAGAACGTATCCACTGAAACATAGGCATTGGCAACGGCTTCAAAAGATAATCGATGAACCACTTTCAAAGCATCCATAATGTTATCTGAAAAAACATATTCAGTTAGACATAAATAACCAACTTGAGCATGTACTGCTTGGAATAGCTTGGTTATTAGACATAAAATATACTGAGAGAAATTGCAACTGAGGAACATTACCAGCAGGGCTGATGGAAGGGAGGCTGGGGAGGGGGTCTAGAGTCCATCCAATAATTGCCAAACTGTAACAGTGTACTAGATTAGAAGGAATACAATGGGAAGGTTCCATTTGACGGCACTCACCAGGGCAGGACTCTAACTGACGGCACCCAAAACTGCACAAGATTGCTCTGTCAGCTGAGCTACCAGTTCATCTCTTCAAATCAAAGCCCAAAGCTGTGCCCCTCACTCCCAACACCTACCCCATCCTTACCAAATATGCAGGGTGCCATCACAGCATTCACCACAATGTGCACTGGACCTGCCAATAGGGCGGACTTTGTGCACCAGGTGGCAATTTAAAGTCCTGCCTTGGTTGTGTCACAAACTCACATTTTCTCGCAGTATATAAACAATATGATATATCTCTAAAGTGCAAACATTTTTTCTTGCTTCCAATGGACCAGTAAAAGAACAGTACATTCAAATACAGGGCAAGACAAAGCTCCAACTAAATGACTGTACTCTCCAAATAAATTCAGAAAGTTTACATTAAGTTCCTTAATTGTGAAAGATACAAAAGATAGAAAATAAGGTACAAATCAAAATCAAGGTGCAGCTGATAAACAACGAGTGGTATTTTTTGATCATAACTTTCAATATTGAAGGTTGAAAGAGAGATCGATCAACAAAGAGGGCATTACACATCTAATCAACTGTTACCCCCATTGAAAACTTGTGGAAGCTAGGCCTGATTTTTTGAAAGATAAGCTTGTGGGAGCTTTTGGATGCTGATAACACACATTCCTTGATAACCTGTCCCTATCCCTTGTTGAGAGTTCTGCTCTAAGACAAACCTTCTTTAAAATGGGGTCTAGATTAAGCAGATTTTCAAATTTTGAAAATTTAAGCACAACTTGAGGGGCATTCAAGAGGCATGCACCCAATAATTGTCAATAGCAATTACCTGATGCAGAATACATGGAAAAATAAAATGTGTGGCCCAAAATGACCC